CGTTGTGGATGCCCCCTCTCTAGGGGTGTTCAAGGCCAGGTTGGATGGGGCACTGGGCAGCCTGGTCTAGTATAAAATGTGCAGGTTAGAGGGCCTGCATGTGGCAGGGGGGTTGGAGATTCATGATCCTTGAGGTCCCTCCCAACCCTGGCCATTCTATGATTCTGTGTGATAGAGCTCATGCTTCTGCCTTGCCTTTATTAGGGCTCTCACAGGAATATGGCAGATCTAGAATTTCACTAACAAATTTCACTGGAAGTGACCAGTGGATGCCTAAATTGAAAGTATAAAGACGTTTCTTTTCCATCAGAAATTTTTCAGGAAACATAAAAGATTTTCTTGAGAGCTCATTAACAACTAGAACATGGTTATGATACAGGAAAACAACAAGATTTCTTACACTTTCTTTATTAATTGCCACTGGATATCATGCCTGAATCCAAACTACGAAAAAAATAAATATGTAAATATCCTACAAATATTTATGAAATGTCAAGATACTGTAAGCTGGTTTTAAATGCTTGCACAGGTTGTACAAAACCTGTGAGCAATGCATCCATGTGTAGATATGAACTAGCCAGTTGTGAGAGGTCACTCTATTTGTACCTGCAGAAAAGTAACACAAGAAAAAAGAGCACAGTAATATATACAAAATTTTAGGAATGTAATCCTCTCTGTTCAATTAAAGCTACACAGCATTTACTTGCATTTAACAGTGAGCTACCCTTGATTTCCAAGAGTTTCTGGGAAGGTAGATGGCAAGCAGGAGGGTCAGTATTATAAGAGTAAATCTGTGGCCACTACTGAGTAACTACAGCTATCAAAAAGGAGAATGAGAACTTCCAAATCTTTAATTGGTTCTGTAAAGGCTCTAGCCTTTGCCTTCTGTGATCATACTTCTTTAAATTCAAATGATAAATTCTACACTTAGGAAAAACTACACATGCCTTTCCTATACAATACCTGAATATAATCTAAACTGATTAAAGACAGCCTGATATCGATTGCCAAGAATCATTATTAAAAATTATTACACATTGTCAAAAATAAGTTTAATAAATGTAAGACTAAAATGCCACAAATGTAATACTGAAATAAAGCATGTTTGAGCAGGAAGATTGTTAACAGCTCCTTTGGAACCTTCAGAATCAGTAACATGGAGAACTTGAACCACTTGTCTCCAGAACTGTATATTCTCAAGTAATTTTATTTATTTATTTATTTATTTATTTATTTATTTAGGAAATTCTGTAGAAGGTAGCTAATGAAGTACTATTTTCAAGTGCAAAAAGTTGCTCCAGTTCCAAATGCCCCCAGATGAACGCTTTTCTGCCTTACTCCCAAACTCACTGATCACTGCTCAGAATTTATTAAGCAATGGCGGATGAGACATTTGAGAACTATTAAAAGCAATCAAATCCTGTCAAATCCTGTTTATCTGTTATTTTGGAAAGAACAAATCTATTATCACATTTTCCATTTCCTGTTTTATTCAAGACAAAAGGTACTTGTGAGCTAGGGTGTAAAGGCACACATAGCAACCACACACATACACAAAAAAAAGGGGTTCAGTATACTAAAAAGACTTCATAAGTTTCAGTAATTCATCTTGTGATAACATGCACAAAGACAGCCTCATTAAAATACCTCCAATGAGGCCAATTGCCAAATATTGTTCTATCACAGGAGTGTAACCAATTCTTCCTGCCAATCAGAACAAACATAAACCTTCTGCTAGAAGGTTTTTTTTTTTTCTTTCCTGTACGAACTTCATATCTTACATTAAAGTGGCCTTAAACTTTCACTGCATGGAAGAAGGATGGCAGGTGGTTTGAAGTACTGTAACTAGTAGTAATGTCATTATCTATAAACCTCTAACTATTTTAGCACATGGACATGCTGGTCTGAATTCTCCTAATTTTGAAATGGTCATGTCTGACTCTGAAAATGGAATGGGTGCATCATTAGGTTGCTTCATTGTTCTAGAAGTGTGGCAATAACATGCATCATAATATGTATTAGGGAGGCGCGCTGTGAAACACGGCATGCTACAATAGTTTCAAATAGCAGCAGGGATTATTAAAAAGGACAAAGGACATTCTATCACAACAGTACTGCAAATAAGATACAGCTAATACTGGATTCAGAAGCGGACTAATTTTTTGAATTATTATTATTATGGTGACAACAAAAACTCCATGCATTTTTATTTTTATTTTTTTATTTTTTTTAAAGACAGGCACAACTGCTATCAAGTGCTTTTCAAGTTAACTTTCGGGCAGTGTTACCCTAAAGTTTTGAGCCATATAGTTACAGTTCCCAAACAATCCATAAATGTTTACAGCTAAATGATGAAAATATTTAGCATTAAGAGCCTGAAATTACATATTTGTAGGGCTCCTAGAGTTCTGTAAAACTAACCAAATTCAAAAAGTTTCTGAAAATGATTTACACAAACACTATCTGAAGAACACTCAAGGGTTTTTTTCTTTAGTTGTTAAGTTCTGCACTGTATGTAAGTTCAAGATATCTATTTCAGATTTGGTCCCTGCTTTGATTCTCGGTGTAGTGGATTCAAATTAAAACATTAAAAAAGAACAGGAACATGAAAGTTTTGAAGGTAAGCTTTAGCAAGTTCATGCTTGTTCTGAAAGCATAAGGAAAATTAGCTTGGTTTTCTAGTTATACCAGAAGAGGCCAGTAACCTTACTGTAATTGCACTTGTGATACAAGCTGATACCAGCTCTTACTTTTCTGTTTCCTTATTGTTCTGCTCCTCATCTTATGTTTTTATCTCATCTTTGTTTTCCTTTTCTTCAGTCCTTTCTCCATCGTTTTTTCATTACAAATTTGTTCACTTTCGTATTTGCTCACAAAGTACTTAATCTGTTGTGCAACACTGTTTCTGCTACAAGCCAATATGTACCCAGACAAAGTTAAAAAATACTAGCGGAACATATAAACTGACTGGGTACCACCTACGTTGGCTGGTAAGTCTGTACTGAAAGATAAGTTGTAACCAAAGTCTCAATTTTAGTATTGCAAAAAAGCTCTGCCAGCGCCAAGAAGATCGCGCTCCTTTTCCTCTTCCCTGTTTCCACTGGAAAAGCCATCATTACAATGAACAAAATCCTAGAGAATATAAAAATTCCCACCCCTACTCAATAATTTCATTATCAAATGTAAGGTCACTGATGTGCCCTTTTGTTCCCAGGAGGTTGACCAACCTGCAGATGCAGTTCTGTGACTGTGCATTGAATCTCAAAGAATTATTAATACTTACACATACTAGAAGAAAATGTATATTCTTACCTTTAATTTTAATTCATATTGACATTCACAGACCTTGCAACAATATTGTTTTTTGATAATTGGGTATTTCATAGTATAATACATTATTTTTTTTCATTTCTAATATGATTAGTCTACATACTAGAAGTCTGTCTCTCAAATCTTCTAACAATGGGACCTGAACAACCTTTCAAATACAGATTGAGTTTTATCAGCAAACATGGATTTTGCACTGAGAAAGCTTTTTCCTATAATAAGAAATGAAGAGGCTGTGACAGTATAAAGTACTTTTAAGACCATGTTGAAAATGTGACAGCAGACCTACTTCATCCTTTGTAATTTAAAAGCTACTTCAAATTGCATGCAATCTGTAGCTTGTATTAGGGCTATTTCCATCTTCAGTGCATTTTGCTCAACAATTCACATATTGATAGTTTTGAACTGTTAAGAAATCAGTGGTAACATAGAACAAACAAATAAAAATGGCAAATGTGCAAATAAACATTCACATACTTGAAAATAAACAGAAATTGAATTACTTGGTGCGAGTTCATGCAATCTCTGTTTAGATCACATCATCCTAATGTATGACAACACAGAACATCTTATTCTAAATGACATGTAATTTGGTGGCGTTTTTTAAATGCACTATAGAGCTGTTGAGTCACCCACATACAACAATGCACTTTGTGGACATTTGTCAAATACTGCAATGCCCATACTAAGGCAACACATCCCAGGAGCTGGCAGTCATGCTATCAGCAAGAATTTGGCTACAGAAACAGCAATGATTCATCATACATTCTAGAAGCACTGTCGAAACAGCAAAACAACATGCTGCTATTTTGATCCTTTAAAGGTAATGTTTTAAAAAATGATAATTAAAAATATGTTTCTAAAGTCAACATGAGCAAAAATAAACCCACAAAATTCTGTTAATGCATTTGGAAGTGCATCTTTATTCATAAGTGATAACTATTAGAATAATTTTTTTCCTCAAGAGAACAGAAAATGGTTATTTAATACAAGTGTCAGTTGATTATTTACCTCCTTACTTTGTGATTTAAGTAGTCAGTATTATAGGACTATCATAGGAAAAAAAAAAAAGTTTTTCATTTACAACAGGCAAGGCACATGTTTAATGCAGTTTAGTTTAGATTGTATGCAGTTTAAAAAGTCCTCTGCAGTAATTTCTAAAATAATCACCAAGATACCCTCATGAATTCCATTATAGTGCAACTACATGATCTGTAAGACTTAGAAAACCACTTTGACTTAAGAACCAAAAGCATCATCAGAGCACCTTTTTCAATGCAAGCATCATATCTTCTACCGTCCCACTGCTCACCAACACAGATTGTTTCTCAGATAAACCTATCTGAAGATTTACAAATAACGGTGCAGGTCCCGTGATAAGCTCTTGTTCTGAAGTACTACTGATACTTCTCATGAGAGTGCTCTTCTTACCTTTCTTCTGCAGAACATTGAATTTTAACACAAAAACAGAGAACTTTTGTCTCTGAAACTGCAGACTAATGATTTCTTTCTACTAATAATTTATTTCCACAGAAGTTACATAGTGAAATAATTACTATCACCTTGTCAGAGAAACCAAGAACACCTCTTTATAATTTATAAGCATCATCTTAAAATCTTTCCACTATGCTGCCCTTTGCCCATTTGCACAAACACACAACGTGAACCCTTACCTTCTGAAAAACAACTTCGTCCTGCTTTCTTTTCTTTTTGCTGCTTTTTCTGATCCTCTGGTTTGCCTGAATCCATTTTGTGACCTGGAGTTCAAAACCATAGTGGTTTTTTAGAAAGAGGATGCGATGAGAGTGCAGCCACTCGGCATTAATAAGAACCTATAAACAGACTCGAGACAATTTTTTCCATTGCTTCACTGGGAAAGGAAAAGCATTTTCCTATCCTGAACGATGTGGTCTTAGGTAGTCTGCTCAGTTACTTGAACACGGCTGAAGTGAAACGCTGTTCTCCACTCCGTGAAGAGCTATTTTCCTTTCTTTCTTCGCTAAAGCAAAACTGCACCTTTCAGCGTAAGGTGCTTCGGTTGTTGTTTTTTGTTTGTTTGTTTGTTTTAATAAAGAAAAGGTGTCTGAAGCCAGACCAGGCTGCCAAATGTAAAGTTATTACTCCTGCGTGCAAAAATCCTGGGGACAACCTCTGCACTCCATCCCTTACACTTTCTGTTACAAATCAGAAATTTACTTCAGCCACCGACGTCAGCCGGTGTTGTTATTATTAACAAAACAACAACACGTGGTTTTTCCCCCATACAAGCGCATCCATGCCTGGGAAGAGAGCGATGATGCTTTTGAAGCAAAAGCGGCACGGGAGGAGATCAGGCGGAAAACTCGGGGAGGGAACCCATGAAGAAAGAAGCGGGGCGAAGCGGGGCGAAGCGGGGCGAAGCGGGGCGAAGCGG